GATCCAGCGGCCGATGTACTCCGTGCATTTGCCCGTGAGACGTCTGTTACCGCATAATTCTTCCCTTCGTCCCCACTTCGACTTCCGTCTCACACACACACAACTACGGACGTGTGTGCTCGACCGCAGATAAGGCCCTGAGAGACCGATCGGCAGCATTCGTCCGCTGCGTGAACTCGCGACGTTCAAAGTCCGCGGTGATATTGAAATCTCGATTGGGCTGATGGCGCGCTCCCTCGTCTTCCAATTTTAATCTTTTTCACTTTGTAGCCTTTACAAGTATGCCTGAAAATGGTGCCGAATGGCTCCTTCAATCATAAATTCTACAAAGCGCGAATACGATTTTGTTTTGGTATCTTCGTGCCGTTTTGTTTTTTTATCTGATGAAAATTTCGACCAAAGTAGCGCGTGACGGCAGACTAAAAAAAGCACAGCGTTATTTAGAATAATTTGCAATGTAGCGCGCTTGAATCATTTGGCAAATGTCGGGAATCGTGCAATAAAAATTAACATGTCGACAAAACAACTTTGGCATATCACGACAATTAGAATTGCATTAAAGTTTCCAAACTATTTTATTAACATAGTTTTGTTTAAACAAGCACATCTCCGACATAACAACTGCAACCGCGTACGCGCGCTCTCTGCTGCGTAATTTCAAATCAAATCTTCCGATTTTAATCTTTTTTACTTTGTAGCCTTTACAAGTCTGCCTGAAAATGGTGCCGAATGGCTCCTTAAATCATAAATTCTACAAAGCGCGAATACGATTTTGTTTTGGTATCTTCGTGCCGTTTTGTTTTTTTATCTGATGAAAATTTCGACCAAAGTAGCGCGTGACGGCAGACTAAAAAAAGCACAGCGTTATTTAGAATAATTTGCAATGTAGCGCGCTTGAATCATTTGGCAAATGTCGGGAATCGTGCAATAAAAATTAACATGTTGACAAAACAACTTTGGCATATCACGACAATTAGAATTGCATTAAAGTTTCCAAACTATTTTATTAACATAGTTTTGTTTAAACAAGCACATCTCCGACATAACAACTGCAACCGCGTACGCGCGCTCTCCTCTGCTGCGTAATTTCAAATCAAATCTTCCGATTTTAATCTTTTTCACTTTGTAGCCTTTACAAGTATGCCTGAAAATGGTGCCGAATGGCTCCTTAAATCATAAATTCTACAAAGCGCGAATACGATTTTGTTTTGGTATCTTCGTGCCGTTTTGTTTTTTTATCTGATGAAAATTTCGACCAAAGTAGCGCGTGACGGCAGACTAAAAAAAGCACAGCGTTATTTAGAATAATTTGCAATGTAGCGCGCTTGAATCATCTGGCAAATGTCGGGAATCGTGCAATAAAATTAACATGTCGACAAAACAACTTTGGCATATCACGACAATTAGAATTGCATTAAAGTTTCCAAACTATTTTATTAACATTAGTTTTGTTAAACAAGCACTTCTCCGACGTAACAACTGCAACCGCGTACGCGCGCTCTCCTCTGCTGCGCAATTTCAAATCAAAGTTCGCATTGGACCTTCATCTAATTGACATTTTAAGCGGGTTAACGTCAAATCGCAGAAACCGATCGTGATGCTACGCTATATATTGCATCACAATTAGTGACATAACTCGTATTGCGCTTGTCAATGATGCATATACCGCGCGTTTGATTTGCAGCACCGTCAGTATAATCGATCGATAGTGAATAAGATTAAAAGAAACTTGATTAATAACCGTCAGCGGTGCGCCAAGTATTGACATAATAGTGCGATGTGACATAAGCGTGGATCGTTACACGGCGATACGGCACAATCGACGGAGGAATTAAGAAAGAGAATCAACCGAATATATACAAAGCAACTGATCTAAATTGGCTTTATGATTGACTTCGCGGAGTGATATTTTATCGGACTTGACATTGCGAAGCGATATTGTTTAAAGCGGATACGAAATGAACTTTTCGGGCTTATCTCCTTTCGCGATTGCGAATAGTTTGATACTCGTAAATTGGACGAAAATATTTGTAGTTAAACTTAAGTTGTTGAATAAATATAGAAACAAAGTGAAAAAAAAGTTATGAGCAAAGATAAAAGCTATATCGTTGTTCGCTCTTAAAGAGAATCATGCGTTACGTTAGATTCTAAATTTGTAATGTTGCCGGCTATTTATAAATGTAAATTGTAAGTTGCGATACTTCCGCAAATGTTTCGACGTTACAAACTTTGTTATCGCGAATGCACGTATGACCGCGACATTTCAGACCTATTTTTAGATCCGACTGAATATTTATTGCAAAAAATATTGAAAGTCTTTATTCATTAATGAAAGATTGTATTCATTTGCATTCATTAATAAATAAATGAACGCATTCGCGGCAGACCTTAAAACCTTTTACATATTTCACGAGCAGATCAATGTTGCGATTTTTAGAACATTATAAAAAGAATTCCTAGAAATACGTAAAATTAACTATGCACACTATGTATTTTCTCTTTCGCTGAATTGAAAATCGATGTATTCGCAATTACTTGCTGCATGGAGTTTTCAAAAGCATATAATTGCTTTAGTACTTTTGTCAAAACTGAAGAAAAAAATTATCTCTTTTAAAAATCAATTTATTCCAACGTTCAGGGAATAATTAGTGTTAATTATAATTAACTTATATATTTCTAGTTAAGTTCCTTAGCCACAGAAGCACGATTACGTTTTCATAATATATGTAATGATATACTCGTTATCGTTTTACGTTTGTCAGCGAAGCAGTGATATCTTTTCCGTTGAAAAGTGAATTTATTTGCAGCACTTCCAGGAGACACTTCTCATCGCCGTAGAGAAATCAAATTACAATTAAATCCAAGTGTGTACATCTCCAGTTGAATTTCTAGCTATAGAAATGCGATTACGTTCCTGTAATTGTTGATATACCGTTATTGATATAACGTCTCGATCGAACTTGGCTATCTTATTGCTTCAATGGCTTGTTATTGTACCACTTTATCGATCTCAATAGAGATGTTATGTATCTTTGAGCGCCTCTTCTTTCTTCTACGCACGTAGCATGATCAGTTAGTGTTACACAATCTATATAGCCACGTTTGTATGATTTAGAGAAAGAAAAAAATCTCGACGGAATTATTTCTCATTAATTAATTGCCTGCGCATTGCTAAAATTGCTTCATTATTACCGTCACATTATATTTGCATAATATAAATAATATTTGATACTTGACTTCGGCTGATAGCCTTTACTCTCGTTTACGCTTCGAAGCTGTTCACTCGCATGGATATAACTCGCCCAGATATTCTCGTAGCTGATAAAAGTATTTTGCACAGTTTGAGATAGCGCTCTCAATTTTAACACTTTTTCCGCAAGAATTACAATGATCGAATATATATATATATATTCTATTTTTTAAAAGGTCTAAAGATTGATCTTGAACATTTTTCAAGAGAATTTTCTAAAAGAATTTATTTACATTTATGAAAAAAACTTCTTAGAAATCACTGACTTGTGTGTAGTCGTTGTTTCTTTACTTCCAAATTTCAATGTCACGCAAAAGTGTTACGTCTCAAGGTTTAACGAAGCGATTGTTAAGTAACGAATGCTCGAGCGATTTCTCGATTTCGCAGGGAAATGGAGAATTTCTGGATCAGCGGCGCGATCCACGCGATCAAGGCTCTGTCGTACGTGTACGACCTGCTGACTTTCCCCGTGTATCTCATACTACAACGACCTTGGGAGAAGCGCAAGGCCTCGAGGCGGATCAAGGCCCGTCCAATCTCCAAGGATGAGAGCCAGGTGACCTATCGAAGCGTCGACTCTCCGGGGTTGATGCACATCATGCTGGAGCGCGAGAAAATCGACACTCTGGAAAAGGTGCTTCTCTGGGTCGTTAAGATGCACGGCGAAAAGAGGTGTCTCGGCACCAGGCAGATCTTAGCGGAGGAAGACGAGCCTCAGCCCAACGGTAGAGTTTTCAAAAAGGTAAGACGCTCCATATATCTCTCGCTTTTTGCAATTAGATTTTAACGCACGAGTGAAATAATTTCTTGAACAGTTTAGTTTAATTTTTTAGAACACATATAATGGAAAGGCTCATATGATAACTATCGAATAATATAATAGAAAGGCATTGAGAGCGGGATGTTGGTGCGAAATTTTTAATCTTTCTTAAAGAAATTAATTTATTAGTCTACATAAGACAGTTAAGTTGCACATCGATCTTAGATCGAGATACTTAAAGTGTACGAAGAGTTTAGTACATTGTTCTCACATATGGAGAATCATCATGTACTGATAGGAATTATTGGAAAGAAAGGAAGAGAGAGAAAAGATATCAGGGCGCGAGTGGCTAAGCCGGGAATTGAATTAATTTTTTAGGTTAGATTCTTTCGAGAACTTCTCGCATTACTTGTTGCGCAAAGAAGACTGTTGGAATGATTCAACGTATTGATGCAAATATTTCTCGCACTGTAAAATCTCATCTGTTTCGCAGTATAAAATGGGAGAGTACAAATGGAAGACGTTCGGCGACGTCGACAGGCTGGCCAGTTCCTTCGGCCAAGGCCTGCTGGAGCTGGGCATGAGGCCGCGCAAGAACGTCGTTATCTTCGCGGAGACGAGGGCGGAGTGGATGATAGCGGCGCACGCGTGCTTCAAGCAAAACTTCACGGTGGTGACGATCTACGCGACTCTGGGCGACGAGGCTATCGCGCACGGCATCAACGAGACCGAGGTGGACACTGTCATTACGAGTCACGATCTTTTGCCAAAGTTTAAGCGGCTGCTTGACATGGTGCCGGAGGTCAGGACCGTCATTTACATGGAGGACCAACTGAAATCGACCGACACCAAAGGCTACAAGGTGCCCTTTTTTTTTATATTCATTGATCTTCGATTGCGTCTTCTTGCAATTGGCATTCCGATCAAATTTATGCAACTTTTGCATACGCAGATTCGCAATTTTCTTTTTAAATAGTCACGTAATAGCGAGATCGCTATCACGAAAAACGTTAATAATTCGAGAGAGACCGATTGTTACCACTGGCTCGGTTGATAATATCTCCTTCTCGCAAGTCCGTCTTCGGTATAATGATTCTGACATTGACTGTGATTGACTATCATTACGCCATTTACATAATGCGGCGATAATGCGTCGGCGCTGCTAATAATCAGCGGTGTGATTTTTCCGGATTTCCTTCTTTTTCTTCATCGTTCGCGCTTTGTTTCAGGACGGAGTGCGGCTGATACCCTTCTCCGACGTTATCAAGACGGGCATCCAGTCGACCGCGAGCGGCACCTCGCCGAAGAGCGACGACACCGCCATAATTATGTACACATCGGGTTCGACGGGGGTGCCGAAAGGCGTCCTGCTCTCTCACAAAAATATCATGTCCACTTTGAAAGCGTTCTGCGATGCAGTGACGATTAGGCCGGACGACGTCTTCCTCGGCTTCCTGCCGCTGGCCCACGTCTTCGAGCTCCTGGCCGAGAGTGTGTGTCTTTTGAACGGAGTGCCTATCGGTTACAGCTCGCCGCTCACGCTGATCGACTCGAGCAGCAAGATTCAGAGAGGATCGAAGGGTGACGCTTCCGTTCTGCATCCGACTTGTTTGACCGCCGTACCGGTGAGTTCTCGCACGAGTTTCCGACGTGTGGAAAGACGACGGAGAAATATATAAAAGTTGTGATTTCCAGTCTTTCCTCCGCGCGAGTTTCGTCTCCTCTCAATGTAACTTTTACAAAAATTGTTAACCGTCTCAGCGGAGGGTGTGAGATTGTTCGTTCGCCTGTTTCAGCTTATTCTCGATCGCATCTCCAAAGGAATAAACGAAAAAGTGAAGAAGTCCGGCCTGTTCAGGCAAGCGATCTTCAATTTCGCGTACGAGTACAAGCTGAAGTGGACCAAGCGGGGCTACGAGACGCCTCTTTTCGACAAGTATATTTTCGGAGCGGCGAAACAGGTGCTCGGCGGTCGCGTCAGGCTCGTTCTGTCCGGCGGTGCCCCGCTCAGCCCGGACACGCATAATCAAGTGAAACTCTGCCTGTGCATCACCGTAACTCAAGGATACGGACTCACGGAAACAACATCTTGCGCAACTGTGATGGACGGTACGCGTCTCATTAGTCTGAAATGAAAAGGCCGCGGGATAATTGAACGTCGCCTCACCGTTGTCTCCTTCGTTTTCAGCGTTTGACAGGACCACCGGAAGAGTCGGAGCGCCCACCACGGTTTGCGACATCAGGTTAGAGAATTGGGAAGAGGCTGGTTACCGAGTCACGGACCATCCGCATCCCAGAGGGGAGATCTTGATCGGTGGCGATATTGTTTCGGCGGGCTACTACAAACTGTCGGACAAGACGAAGGAGGACTTCTTCCAGGAGGACGGCAGACAGTGGTTCCGAACAGGTGACATCGGCGAATTCCATCCGGACGGCTCCATCAAGATTATCGGTACGTCGCAAAACAAAAAACATACATCGAGCGCGAAGCTTCCTTCTTTTTTTCACTTCTGCAATAAGATTGTAAACGCTTATGCGTCAATCACTATTTTCGATTCGTGAAAATCTATTTGCAGACCGGAAGAAGGACTTGGTTAAGCTCCAACTCGGCGAATACGTTTCCCTGGGCAAAGTCGAATCCGAATTGAAGACTTGCCCCGTCGTAGAGAACATTTGCGTCTACGGAGACGCGAATAAAGCGTACACCGTCGCGCTCGTCGTGCCTAACCAACATTATTTGGACGAAATCGCCGACACTCTGGGGATAACCGAAAAGAGGAGCCTCGAGGAGCTCTGCAGTAATCCGGAGATTGAGAAAGCGGTACTTCAAGAACTCGTTGAGCAGGCGAAGAAATGTAAGTTTCTAACGTACTACATTTATTTAAGATTGTTACGTAAGATTGTTCAGAAAGTTTCTCAGTTTTTTCCTTTATGAGAATTATCAAGCGTAATCTAACACTCGTATGATTATATTTATCGTCTTTACTATTGTCATTTATCGTTGCTGAATGATCTTCCGGTTTCCGCAGGCAAGCTCCAGAGGTTCGAGATACCCGGCGCGGTGAAGCTGTGCGCGGAACAATGGTCGCCCGACATGGGACTCGTGACCGCGGCGTTCAAGCTGAAGAGAAAAGCAGTTCAGGAACGCTATCAACACGAAATCAACAGGATGTACGCCTCGTGATGTTCCGCCATAGGTTGCACCAAGTGTTGCGCGTAACGGGAATCGAAATCTAAGAAATCATCTCGTCCAACAGACGGTACCTCGTTAATCCTCAGATACACATAAACTTTGTCGTAAGCCCACGGCCGTAAGCGCGCCGAATTACGGCGCACGTATCGGACGTTCGCGGCAGCCGCGTGCAATCGAGATCAAACTTCCGATCCCGTCCGGCGTTCGGCCCGGACTGTCGTCGTCGCGTGGCGAAAAAGTCACTCGGAGAAACGCCGAGATTTTTCGATTCGAAAAAAAAGAGGGAAAAAAAATAGAAAAAAAAAAATGAAAGTATCGCCTCTCGCATTTCTTCGTTTGGGTCTTCCGAATGTAATAAATTTCTCGCGATTTCTCATCGATATCAATTGTCTGTCGCAGACAAGTTGAATATGGTAGCGTAAGTCGAACGCTCGGCCGCGAGAGCGGCGAGTGTCCATTCAGCCCAGCCGATACGAAGTAGAACTTGGCTCGCGCTCGCCGAGTATCGACTTTACGCAGCCGTTATCGCGAAGTGATAATGATCGATGTGTTAAAGTTACGCGATACAGCGCGACGCGTGTCGGCGAGAAAGAAATACGTGGTGCAAGACGATTATTCCGTTGGGAAAATCGCCGTCGTCCTATTTTCCTCCCCCCACATCCTCCCCCCTCCTACCCCCTTTATCGATTACGCCGATCGATTTGTTGTGCCTGTATTCGTAGTAGTGCACCCACCTAATTGTTAGTGTTAATGGGCCAGTCACGATACCTTCGCGAACGAGCCGACTCGGCGCAAGCCAGGCGACTCGTGCGCTGTACTTATTTCAAATGTTATTCAAAATCGTCGAGTTCGATCTTTCGGAAGGGACAACTTCGCGCGGGGATCAAAGCCCCCCCGGTGGGCGTTTCGCTTTCCTGCGAACGACACGACATATGTATTTATAGAGGAGAAATGAGAAACGAAGCTGTTTGTGTTCCGGCACGCTTAGATAAATTCAAAGGGCAATTTCAATGAATAGAATAATAATTATGTGAATTAAATTTCTCTCTCATCGACTACTACCACTTAGCGTTATACTTCGTCTTATACCGTCTGTGTAGTGATATGTCAAACATACTTCTGCCTACTTTTCGAAATACCAGTTCAAGCATCACGATATTCCCAGCAACAGAAATTGTATTTTTGTGTATGCATGTATGTGTGAGTACATGTGTGTGTAAACGCGTTTGTTTCATTGTTGTATGCTTGTATGCACATATGTCCACGAGGGGAGAAAAAAAAAAAGATTAGGGAATAAAACGTATGTGAGCTTAAGAGGAAAGAGAAAAATCATTTACAAATCTATAATTGTTCTTCACTCTCTAATTTTCGCACGCGCGTATCTCTGACGGTTCGAGTTTCACAAACGAATTCGTGTACATTTCGGGGTTGAACAACACGGTTGTACTATCTTTGTATTGAAGATAAAATAGAAGTACCTTGTTGTTTAATTCGTGTACGTCTACTTACAAGTGGAAAATCATTTGTCACGCTTCATCGTCCCGTTTTCTTTTTCTTTTATTCCGACGCACCGCTCGACGAAAACACGAGCCGGCAGAGAAGGCTGTGCAGTGTCCATTAAATTTGTACCATACAAAGTCTGGTCATGCGACGCACGTAAGCAATCAAGTCGATACGTGCGCTCGACGTACAGATACGGGAGGTTAATATTTTTCGTATGACTTCCATTTCATCGTACGAAATGGCGCGAGTTTCTACTATTAGCAATCGATGGCGCAAAAATAATTTAATACAGGCAGCTCACTTTTGTTTCCATTCGTCGCGAGAGTTCCTGCGGTATAGCTAAGTGTACGGGATTTGGTACTAATCTCTATTAATTGTTAAGCTCTGTACATTACTTGGTTAGAGACATGGTCAGGTATTACGACATCACAAGATACAATTATTATTAATATTATTATTATTATTATTATTATTATTATTATTATTATTATTATCATCACTTGAAAGGATGATTTACAAATAAATGTACAAAGCTATACGACATTGCCTTAGATTTCATTCTATACACCTGTTTCCACTATTATTCCATTTTCCGCAAAATATTTTCACATGAATTCTTAATTAAAGATCAACGAATTTGAATAAATACTCCTTTATTTCAGAAGATGTGATATTTTACGTCGTAGATTTAATTACTTTTGTGACGCTCAATCATTGTATATCTGATTAATTACTATAACTTCAGTTAATTAACTGATTGATACTTGGATTATGAAGGATGAGGAAACGCGTTACGGGAGGTCGAAATAGTGTTACAATAGTTTATTCATTACAAATGGACAAAAAAGAAGAAGAAGAAGTCATACACACAGCGATCTATCAAGTTGGTCGTTTGCGATAGACGTAATACAACGAACGGCACTCTTTCTACTTTCAGTAGAAGTGCAGACTAGGAGGTGTGCGATCGTGCGGATTTGCGCAGGGATCGGTGCCGCACGTTCAAAACGTTATATTAAAGTCTGTAAAATACGCCGCGCGTGACTCGAAGAGATTCCGCCGTCGGCGTGGAAACGAGCTCTCTCTCGACAATTATAAAATACAAACGTCTAAAGTCCACGACGGTGGATCGCACGCGCGAGGAACATTTAGCTTTACTTAAGTACGAGGTCGCCGGTCGTCAAGCGCCTCCGAAGACAGTTTGCGTCAAGCGAATAATTGCACGACGGCAACTCGTGCCCTTTTGTCATCTAGATTGATCAACGACGAATTGTAAAATGCATTGTTGTTCGTCAGCTACAACGCCTGCAAGTAAATATGCAATTATCAAAATAGTCGCGCCGTTGAATAAGCAATGGGTTATTGATGGATTTTTTTAAATCCGTTTCAGATTAAATTGGACGTAGTTTTGTAAAAATAATCCAGACAACGCTGCTGCGGTACAACAAGTGTCGGTATTTTTACATCAACTACTATCAATGAGAACACACAGTTATTAATAACATTTTTTTTTTTTATATCGGATAAATCGTGCGTTGACCGTCGTGTATTTTTACAAATAACGCGTAGAGATAATGTTGAGGAGCTTTTTCTTTCTATCTTTATCATCTCGTCGATTGGCAACCGGCCGCTTCGCACTCATTAATCTCACGCGTTATCTACATAACATTTTTTTAGTTGACGTCACAACGACATATGTATATATATATATATGTATATATAACTCTCTAACACATAGAGTTTTCCGAAGCTGTTAGCCGCGGAATACTTTTTTTTAACTGTGATATATTTATATATAGAACACATCTGATAAATATTTTGAAGGCGAGTTTTGCACAAGTCGTTAGATATATATTTAATTTTGTGAAAATAATTTACTACCAATTGTCTGTATTTTTATACCAGCTCTTACCGCGTTATTAATTCCTTTTTATCCAGAAACAAGATAAATTATTAATAATTATCGTAAGTTTTCAATAATTATGCGATGCGGACAACTACTTGGAGAATGTTAAACGTAAAGAAATGAGGCTCTTTTTCCCCGGTGGAAATATTTCGCAGAGAACACACTTCGGAAAGAAACTCCTCTAACAACAAATACCCGTTATTTCTATATAATAGCTCTAAAGCTCCTCTAAAAGTCGATATTATCTTCAGGTTGAGGTTCAGGATCTCAGTTCAGAAAATGTACTCTAGGGTTTGGTCAGAATTCTTACGTCATAATGAAATTTGATCGCAGCCTCGAGCTTACGTTAGAACTAAGTTACTCCATCGATTACGCACAGGTGAACTTCGTTAATTGAACGCACATGTGAAGTCGATAACGTAGCTAAGAAGGATGCACGATGGAGAAGATCATTTTGGACGTATTCGACGCTCGCAAGAAGAACGGAGGAAGAAAACACGCCTGAAATAAATTGCATGCTCGAAGCTGCTTTGAGTTTTTAGACGTGTAGAAGATTGAAGGCAACTTCAAGTGTGTAATTTACTTCCGACGTGTTTTGTCCTTTAAGTGTTCTCTACGAAGTATCTTTGTGAAGAAAACATTCTGTTTTTCTTTACGTTTAAATTTTTCCGAGAACTTTTTCGTAATGCGCGCGTTGCATAAATTGGCAAATATATAAATTATACGAAGTGTATAAAGTGAAAAGTTAATGCTTTTTGCGAGCGTCAGAAACAGTCGAGTATTGCAGTTTCTTAGAAAATCAATAATGTATACAATTTAAAGCTGCATTGTATTAAAAGATTGCGTTTACAAGTCGCAATCTCCTCGCGTTGTGCAATTTTCTTGTTTAATAGGCGAGTAAAATGTCCGTTTAGCTTTCGTTCATTTTTCTTACGATTACACGTGAAAATTGAAAATTATGAGAAGAGAAGATGCGGAAATAATGCGATTAGGTTGCGTTTCAGAGTTTGCTTTTAACGAGCGAGCTGGAGCACGTCTTTAAAGAAGATGCATGTTTGACAGAAATGGAAGATGTCAACGGAGAGAGAGAGAAAGAGAGAGAGATTGTGTAACTAACGTCAGCTGCGAGGAGCAGCCAATAATGGAAAGTGTCGCCGAAGTATCGATCGCAGCGAGAAAGACACATAAGAGAATGATCTTTGGAAGAAGTTAAGCGATTTCCCGCAATCGCCGGAAAGGAAGGCGAAATTGAAGCTCCATCGCATCTCCGCGGCAACGTTGTGATGCAGACGGAAGCTTCGCAAGATAACGAAGTTAATTACGGCGAATGATTGACGCGCGACGGAATTATCCGATCTGTTGTAACGTTCAGCGGATCGCTCTTTGCTCTTTGCGAAGCGAATGCGTTCGGAGCTCGCGAGGGAAAAGAATGATTTCCGCAATAATTGTCGTCCTTCCGGATAAAACTTGAAGCCCCGACGTCGTAATTTGCGGCGGGATAAAAGATCAAATCGCATGACCCGTGGGCGCTCGTAATAGTCGTAAATCACCGGCTTTTCATTCGAAATGAGAATTTTCCACTCGGCGGCGCTCTGATGAGACACACTTTCATTTGTCCCGAGCGAAAAAAGCGTGAATAACGAAAACGATTCCGCGCGGCGTCGTTTGTGACGAAAGTACCGGAATGATACGATTGTTCAACAAAGGCATCGCGAATACACGTGCCGTAATCTTTTTTTCTTCTTCAAGTCTTTCAAGTTTGAAGTGTCGTTACGCGGACTCCGTTCCGGCAATTGTACGTTGATCTCGCGTGCAGAGTCTTTTTCCAACTCTTTCTCTGAATTTTAATTCTCGGGAATTTAAAGGAAAAAAAAGAGTTCTCAGTAGAATAAAGATATGTTAATTTTATCTACTTCATATTTGAATTTCACGAGTTAAACGTGCGCGGAGACGAACATCTTCCAATTAATTTTCATTTATCTATTTATACCAACGCAGTGCTCAGTGAATAATTGTACTTACTTTATTCGTGCAGTTTACTTTAACCGAAGTACCAGCAGAGCCTGTTGTGTCTTTCAGAAACGTCCGAAAAGTTGTTTCGAGGACACGTTTCGCGAATGAGAATAATGGTCGGTTGACTACACGCTCGTACACGCGCGCACACACACAGACACACACACGCACCGCGCGACTATCTAGATACAAAGCTCGGGTTGCGTTTAGAAGGAATGACAATTTGTTGAATGTACCGCTACTCACAGCGAATAGAGCCGCACTATTGCCCACTACACAAGTTTGCGTTAAATATCTCTCTTTGGGCGGGAATCTTCATTAAGCCTTAAAAAGGCGATCCTATTCTTCCGCCCCCTCTTGAAAATTCCCGTCTCTCGTCGGTGTGCGTAAAATGGCGCGAAGATTACCCTCTTATTCGGGAAAAGCCCCGGCAGTAGTCTCATAACGCGCGAAATTGGAACCATTAGCCGGGAATGCATTGCGCGAACGACATACCAAATGTGTCCCAAGGAGAATATGTGCCTGGCGATAAAAGCTTTACGCCCGCAGGAATTCGAAATTGATTCTCTCCCGTAAATGAAACGTAAATTTCACCGTTTTCGGATTTGTAATAATAATTGCGCGATTTTAATTCCGGTCGATTGTTCTTAACGTCTGTTATTATCGAGTTTTAATTTCAAAAAATTACTTTCATTTCGGTTTCACGGTGGTTTAGCGAAGAGAAGAGAGCGGCTAATGGGAGATTCTTTCGTCAGAATATGCAAATTCTCTCAATTTTCTCCATGAAAATCTGTTTCTGCACACAGCGAACCGTTGCTAATGTGGGAAAATGCGCGCACTTCGCATCCGTGTTCCATTTCGCAGCTCCGCGCAGCTCTCGCACGACTTCCAGGGGCTTTTCCGTCGGGGGGAAAAAACGCGGTGGGTTTTAGACGGTGATATAGTAAGCCCGCGGCTTGCCCCTCGACATGGTCGGGCTGAAGAGGATCCCTGGTGTCGTCGGGCTAAACGACCAGGACGCCCACGAGGGCGGCGGAAACATGCGTCAGGACGTGTAGTAGCCCTCGTGCCGCTTGCGACACTTCTCACGGGCGATGTAGCACAGCGCTATGATGATCAGGATCGCTATGGTGATGCCCATGCCTACGCTGATCCAGATGATCTCCTCGTTTATGCCGCTGTATCCCTTTCCTGAAAGCATTCTGAGTTTATCTCCCGAAATCATAACTCACACACACCTGTTACGTTCCAAAACGGCATTCCTTTCTGGAGAGGGGAATTTGTGAATATTTATTACATCAAATGCGGAATAGCGTATTCCGTATTTTGGATGCCCGGCTCATTTCAGAATAAAGTGTAAAATATCTCGTAACTTATTGATTTTTCGATACCTTTACCTTAATACTTTTATATGCAGAATAATTAGAGAAATCATATTATGTAAAAAAAAACATATTCCATTTAAAAACACGAAGTTGACCTTGAAATCTCCGAAGCGCTTCCACCTGGACAAAAATTATTATCGTCATATGATAGCCCCCTTTGTACCGTGCAATTTTGGTTATATACATTTTTCTCTAAACCTTATAGATTCGAAGATATTAAGGTGCTAATAGTTATTGAGACACCCTGTATATATAATATAATATCAAGGCTCTTACGATAAATATAAATAACTAAAGAAAGGGCAAATGAGCCAATGTTGGTTGCCCGTACATATATTTTGAAATTTGAGCTTGTAATCACAAACGCTTCTGCCTGGATAAGGCTTTTATCGGTGTATAAATTATCCTCAACACTTTTTTTACACAACGGCTTGGCGATACAACTTAGCGTTGCGATTTTTTAATGTTTTTTGTACGTATATAGTTTTAATGATGCGCAAGACACTTTTGTATTAATAATTTATACACTGATGAAGGCCTTGTCTAGGCAGAAACGTTTGTGATCACAAGCTTAAAATTCAAAATATATGCACGGACGACCAACATTGACTCATTCGCCCTTTATTTCTTTAGTTGATATATATATATTTTCATAAAAATAAATTTTTGTTACAAAATTCTGAGACAACGCCGACGTTTTCGTGAAATTCAATCGTCTTTGTAGAATATCTTAGCAGCATTCGAGACTGTATTTACAGTCGAGACTTAAGAGACTTGGAAACCACAATTGGCAGACTCGGTAGCTTGATTTGTGAAGCTCATTAATTGTTTCTAATTTCATCCGTCGAGATCAAGATTCGCACATTCCAGTTCTTGTTTCTGTTATCTCAACAGCTCCTTATTTCTTATCGCTATAACGGAATCTAGTTTCCTGAGACATTTAAAGCGCAGCGCAAGCTTCTCCAATCTCGGATATCTCGAGATTTCCTTAGATTAAGCTTACTTAAAGCTCGTCTTAAGTTTCTGACCATGAATACTCCGCAGAGCTGCCGCACAAATGAAATAATGGCGTCTTTGGCTGAGCTTCAGTAAAGCGTAAATGTCACGAGTTTCTCCCGACTTCGATAATTTTATTTATCGCCGGACAATTTGAATTTTATATCTGCAGATTCCGCTTGTGCTATTCTAATTTGCCGAGTCTCTTCGCCGACGACGGTCGCGCGATGAATCACGAATTCGAAGGCGGACTCCCGGCAACGCTTGGAGAAAGTCCAAACGTGTGAGCAGGCGCCGAAGACCAAGACACGAAGAATTTTATTTGCAAATTATGAGAAAGCGACCGTGTCACTGGCAGCCGGCCCAGGGTCAACATTTTCACAAATTCCCCGCTGCATCCGGTAAACATTAGCGCAATTCCGGCAATTCGGCGTTATTGATTCCGCCAACAATCTCGCCGCTGCCAAAAGTGCGCTACGTATTTCGACCACGTCCAATAGACTCGTGCAATAGTTTCGTGCAATTGTGTGACACTGTAGTGACGTAATAAAACACTGCACAGTCAAGCTTGCATATGCTGGTTGCGCGCCAACTTTGTTTGTATTCTTCGAAGATAAATATGAAATGTTTCTGCAAATTTGTTAGAAATTTGTGGTTGTGTTTTTCTTTTTTTTTATATAATCTGCAAAATCGTGCAAAATGTGTTTGAGTATCTCAGAGGTGCACCACGTGAAGTCATATTTTTCGTAAATTGAGTTATTATTATTACAAGACTCTAGACTCCAATTTTTATCTAACGCCAAACAGTTTTAAGTCAGTAATAAAAAACTAGTTGGAGAAAAAACTTAGATGGGACTGGAAATGAGAATGATTTGGCAGTAAGGAGAAAAATTATGTTCATGTGACTTAACGTACTCTGTCTCTGAGGTGCTCGCACGGAAAAATAGAAAAATAACGTCTGCAAAGCAGGATATATCAATAATGACAACGTCCGAGATTTTTAAGAAAGGAGAAAACATTTCGAGTGAATTTTGCATAAGATTTGATTACATAAATAATCATAAAAAAATTTTAACGTTTTACAGCAAAATTTTGAGCATTAGTTTAAAGATATACATTCTTTTTGTGCGAAAGGATCTTAATTTGCTTTCGAGAAGGAAAAGGAATCGACTTATTTTTCGCAGTATGCTTTATTTGTTAAAAAAATCAATTTCGCTGGGTGGGAAAACTTGCTTCGAGACGTGTTATTTTCTCGATAAACAGCGTATGTCGTGAATGATAAATTATGTAGAGAATTATGTACCAAAGCGTGGTATACAAATAATGACATGTAGTGGAACCGACAGTCTTCTCGATGATTTTTACAAAATTACGATACCAATTGTCAATAATATACGCGCCACATACCAAAACAATTTTTTCGATTTATTTCGATCTGCCTGCAATAGAAAAATCGCTGTTGTTAAGGCTGATTCACTTTGTATATGTCATGTCGTTGTGTCAACACGAGGCAACAAAAATTCAGGTAGATTCATGTTATACGATGCGCCAGGACACGAGAGATGACAAAAATTATCGTACATTTGCATATCCCGTGACAAACGCGAGAGCCAGACAAACGTTTTACAGAATATTTTAAAATCAGTTTTTTTTTTAAAAGCTTTACGCGTATTGCGTCATTATTAAATGAGAACGAGAAAATAAAGAATGATGTTTGTGGTCATAAAATGTTAAACAAAGAGAGAAACATTTCACAGAATATTTTAAAATTATTTTTTAAAAGTTTTACGCGTATTACGTCATTATTAAACGAGAAAGAGAAAACAAAGAATGATCCTTGGTCGTAAAGTATTAAAAAAAAAGAGAGAGAAAAATTGCAGGAGAATTTGTAACATTATGTCACGAGATAATAAACGACGAGGTAAAATTTTATAAATATTAATATCAAAATGTAGTACTTTTGCACTCGAGCCACGTATCTGCGCGCATTATCAGGACGTGACGACACATAACGTGATCGAAATATCCGGCCAGTGCGAAATATCACGCTTCTCGATCCCGTCTATCGCACATTTAAAGTGAACGGCGCTTGCCGTGCAGCAACAAAGCATTGCGGCAACGTTGCGGCAATGCTCTAGAATTAATACAGCGGAACCCATACAGCACAGAATATTGCAGCAACATTGCGGCAATATTGCAACATTCTAGCAACATTGCAAGAACATTGCAATATTGCCGCAATGTTGCTGCAATGTTTTGTGCTGTATGGGAAGAATCGTTACTTTCGTAGAATGATTGCACGGCATCTCAAACATTTCCCTGATGCGTTCAATGTCAAAAATTGCTTTGGTATCGACGTGGTCATAAGGAGATATACCTAACGGTACGAAATGAATCCATCGATCCACATTACCATTGTAGTGGGAGCTGTAGATGCCGACTTTACCCGCGACTCGTCCACCCACCGGCATGTTTGTACTTTTTCCTCACGGTTTGTCACCTAGAAAAGGAAATCTCGCATTTTACCGCAGGCCAGGACTTTCCGCAGCTTACAGGATTACAAACGCGGCGACCTTTCCCTCCCCCCCCTCCTCCCCTTCTTCCAACCCACTTCCTCGTTTTATTCCAAGCTCCTTTATACTCCTTTAGTTGATCCCTCTTTTCCCCCGTATTTTACTCTCTTTCGTCCCGGTAAATTTTGTCAGTTTTCCGTCGCAGTTTATATAAAATGTACTGAAGTTATTGGAGACGTTGTTGTGTTTGTAGCAATTAATGGACTTCTATAAGGAATTGTAGAAATTCTTGCAGTTTGAGTTTTCTGTAATTCGGATGCCGCGACATAGTTCTTTATTAAGTTTCCTTCGCGCGAAACGATGTTACACGCGAAGCTTTGAAGTCTCTTGGAATATTTGGCAGCGTGGAAGTGTCAATAACTGTATTTATGTAACGCTTTAAAGTCGCAACTTCGCTAACGATATTGCGTTCGGCAGATATTCGTTGTGTACACACTTCAGCGCCGTCGGGCTTCCCACTTTGAGGAGGAAACGAGCGGAAGTCACCGGGGTGACAAATAGAGCGGGCGAAGGATTCTCGTAAGTCGATTTTTATCCTCCATTATTCACCATTGGATTATTCCAACGAGTGGCATTATGATCTTTTATCAGCTCGACGGTAATGTGAATCGAAAAATCATCGAGGCAATTCCGAAGAAAATTTATCGCTTCGTATTAATCCGCGATCGTATTTACGATTATGCGCGAATATGCGCGAAAGTGATAATTCGCAATATCTATTTCATTCGGCGAGAGATTCGTGTGAAGGGATTTTTGACAAGAGAGTAGATGTATGCGTATTTCCCGGCGCGAAATTAAACAATTTGTGATTCAAGTGGGATATTCGTATATTTTACGGGGACGCGAACGGAAATGTATAACGGCGAGCGAGCACAAGTTTGAAAATTGCATCACTCCCGATATTTCCATTTGAAAAAAAAATTATGCGCACAAATAAACGGCCCCGGGCCGTCTCTCGCATCTTCAAGCGACTCGTCCCCGGCCGTGGAAACTCGGTGACGAGTCGGAGAGACGCTGAAAATTCCCGCGCTCCCTTCGTACTTTCGATTTGTCACGCTCCGACTATTATTTATTCGCTCGCGACTGCTTGTTCTCCGCGCGAGGGCGTGTATTCCGTGAAACGCGCATGGATTACTGTCGCATTTTCCGCGCCCCGTCGCACGACGGAGACGATAAATCGGGGACGGTGCGCGAGTGTTTGCCGATTCTTTCGAATTTCCGGAGTTGTCATCCCGTGACTTTATATAATCCTCGCGCTCGTTATTGAAAAGCATCGTCGCGACGGCGGAGTTTGCGGCCCTGCGGGCGACGTGAGCATCGATCAAAGGATTTGCTTGTTAGGCAGCTCACCGATAGAAGTGAATCTGCCACGAGGGGTTGGCGAGGGGGGGGGGGGGTAGGTGGAGAGGGGGAGGCAAAGGGGAGCGTCGAGTTACGTACGAGAGCAGCGTCGATGTGTATCTCGGAGAGTCGAAAGTAGGGTGCTTCAGGTGCATCTCTTCAGCTCCGTCTAACCGACGAGCATCTTCTCCCTCGCGACTCGCCGGAGCTGGAAAGCAATTTTCGCCGATTACAATAAAGCTCCATTGCGATATGTGAATGGGCCGCCCGCATTCGCGAGCCCGGGCGAACAATGCGACGTAACAATGGGAAATGTGGAAGTAGCAGCGTTGTATGCGCGATACGCGGGAAGATATAATTATTATTGCAACGGATTTAATATATAATGGGGTTATTGTTTCGCGCGGTTGTTCCTGTTATTTTCAACGAATGTGTGTCTATTTCTTCGCGTACGCAGCGGTGTATTAAACAAGTAATTGTAAAATAGTTTTCGCAAAAGCAAGAACTTATCGTATTTTAAATGTTTACGATATAAAAGTAACGAGAGGAGAAAAATAATGCTTCGTGTGAAAACTTTGTACGCGGCGCGGAATATTCCTTGCTTTTGTAGAATACATTATAATTCGCCACCGCGAAACTTTTTTCTCCGATCGCATTGGGAAATTTATTGTTCGTTCTTAAGAATAAAGCGAAAGGCGTAATCGAGCGTTCTAATGCGATCTCATGTTCCTTCAAGTCGAACGCGTCTTTAAGATCGCCCCAAATGCTGTTTCACGGAGCGAAACGATTATTGTGAACGACTCCTCGATTTGTAATCTCCGCGATCGAAGGTTTTGTGAACACCTAATCGTAGAGAATTGGACTTCGACCTTAATTGAAAGGAAGACGAGACTGGAAATTTTCGTCTCCTTTGCTCACTATAATGTAAAAATGTTTGTCTGTAATTTGCATAGAAAAAATTTCACACAGAAATGTAAATAAAATTAAAAAATAAACATCCGCCGAAGCAAATGTCCGACAATATCCTTTCAGCTGTTTGCGCAATAAACTTTGACGAGATAAATTTCACGAAGCTAAATGTTTATATTGCGTGGGCAGTACAGTGGCGATTATGTTTTTGGATATTTCATTCCGCTGATCTCTACGTTTCATTTTATCCATTTGTTCACTTATGTTACAGACAGCAAAACGCTCTAAATGCTTTAAAACGTGGAATTTAAATAAAATTAATCTTCAAGTTAATAAATCGGAACAAAGGTGTCTAACAGGTACAAAGAGTGGCTCATTTATCAAAATTAAATGTTAAACGCGAGGCACGGAATATAATATTGTCCCGTGCTGGATATTTGAAGCGTTGTTGTGTGCCATATGTTTTGATGCTGACTCATGGCACGTTTTCCTTTCTTTATTGCCCACATCATGGCGTACACGAACTACAATGCTTTCACCTTGCTATCATTCACACGATAAAGCTCGCAGTAGAAAAGACGGAAATCGCTCTGCATCGTCGCGCAATAGTTTCCAAATTGCAATCGTGTGCCGATATGCTCTTGAATGAGTGAGCCGTAAAGAAGCGGTGCGTCATTGCGAGAAAACCCGGGCAGCGTTGGAAATAATTTTACGACAAATAATTTATCATTATTTGTAGCGTAATGTAAACTGAGATTTTTTTTCAAATATTTCCCGTCTTACGTAAAATTACACGTAGAATTTCATCTCAAATTCTGTCGCGAATTATAAATTGTATAAAATATGTTTAGCATATGTTTAGTTGAATGCCGCGCTAATTTTATACAGCTTGCTCATCAAGTCTCAATGAAATTTTGCAGTATATCTTATAAAAACCGCCAGTTTCCGTGACATTTTTTCAATTATTTAATAAAGCAATGAGGAAATAAAGTTCTGGACTCCTTTTTTTTATCACGAGAAGTTTGTGGGCGCACCAACGCGTAAATAAAGTAGCTGTCTTCTCGTATTATTCTGTTGCATTTCTAAAGAATTTTAGGGCAAAAGGTCGGCGCGCAGACCGCCATTGCACGCGACCGCATTTTATTTTCACCAGAATTTTATTTTCACAACGTCTTATTTGTAAATGTATTTTTTAAAACGAAGCAGAGTAATCAAGAGTTTCGGCGCGCTTATTCCATTTCCTGTTTCACAGCGACGACCTTTTCGCGAGCTCCTCGAGCAAACTAATTCTAAACTCGCTCGGAACTATTCCCGACATTTGACAAGCAAAGCGTATTTGACGGAACAGGAATCCTCGGCTACGGACTCGAGAATTCAAAATCTCCGACTATGCCAGTGGAGAATCCGAGAGTTTCGGCGGACACGCGCGTCCGATATTTCAGCCCCTTCGCGTCGCGTTAAATATGCAACTTTTGCAGGCTCACGCCGGCAAGACTCGCGACGGGGATTATTATTCCCCAGGCGCTTCTTAATAAAGCTCCTCGCTTAAGTGGGATCAACAAGTTAGTTTCGTTACCGTCGCGTGCACACGCGTCGCTCTTGTGCGCGCTCGAGCGGTCCTTTGTTTTCCGCAATTAAACGAGTCCCTGTTGACACCGCGAACCGGCATTCACCGGCCGCGCCCGACCGAAGGGACAGGCGGCTTTTGTCCCGCGAGCGTTTTGCGCTGACAACCCCCGTCGCGCTTTTCGAGCAAGCCCGCTGATGCAGCACGCTCGCCGCGACGCGTTGCATCCGACGCGTTAGCCGCGCTTTGACGCGCCCGCAATTAGGCGCGATGACACATCCGGCGTGCTCGCGGTTTATCAATTAACGACGGCGAACATTGTTTCCGGAAAGCGCGGTGCGAATTTAGCAGCGGCCGCGGTGGATCCCACGCTCTCCGCAACGGAAATTGCGTCGCATTCTGCTATCAGCAAACTCAGTCGAGCAACTCACTTACTCGCAAATATTATCAGCGGAGTTATTAAAGCTTACATATATATAATTATTGTGAGCAATTATCGAGAAAATGTATACGATAAATTTTACTTCAAGCAATATACTACACAATTCAGGATAATAATTCGAGATAAAATTACTTCCAAACTTGTGCAACGCGGATGTTTGTAATTCCTGAAACTTTAAAATTTAAATTTGTGAATCTTTGAATTTTTAAGTCCGCTTTAAATGATCTACAATTCGCGAAGAATTTAAAAGAGAATTCTGTTCATAATTTCAGCGCCATATAATAATAAAAAAAAAAAAAAAACGTTTGAAGAATCAAAATACACTGATATGCATTTTGTACATGTGTGCTTTTATTCTTTAAATGTTTTCAAGAACCAGACGATACGTAAAATGACGAATAGAGTGAAGAGAAAATTGTGGATCAGCTTAAAAATGCAAAGATATGCTAATCTAATATTTCAGAATTTTAAGGATAGAAAAAATGTATATTATATAATATAAAATATTACGAAAGTTAATTTTAATAAAAAAAACTTGATTAGCATTTATCAAAGAGGCATCTCTTGCAATTAGGAGCAATTTCGCCGTTATTTCGAGTTTAATGGAAATCTAATTATTGAAACAGCGACGCTCTAACTAGCAAAATATGCTTCGTCGCTCCGAGAGCCAGCTCTGTTTCCGTGAATGCAAGTGCATCAATGCTTTTTGCCGCGAGACGATTCCGATGTGCATAAGAGAGCGCATGTAATGTTTCGGCGAAGATTCATCGTCGCATGTCGCGGTATTTGCATCCCTAAAAACACGTTAACAATTGTGCAATCAATCGAAATCTCCCGTCAATAATTCTGCAGGTTTTCATGCTTGAACGAGCGCGTTATTCGAATGCATCGTGACCGATTTACAAATGTTGAGGCATTGAAATTTGGTGCACCGTCAATAACAGATATGCTAATTAACTATATTTAAAGCGGATTGAATTCTAGACGTCAAACGAGCTTCATTAACTCGAACGGCATTTCTATTTTGTATCACATCAAAGCACTTGTTTCCGAGTTTCGACTCCACGCTTCGACTGCTGTAATTACGGTTCTTATAATTATTGGCAAAACTTCGCCACGTTCGAATTTGCTTTTACTTCGCTCATAAGGCTGCATCTTGCAAAGAGATTTAATTGCAAATTAATTATGCAATGTCGCAAGTTCGAGAGCAAATTTGCATTTAATTAATAAATTTCGCAGCACAATACTCCATTCGAACCGTGGAGTTTCCGCATAGTTTGATAGTATTAAATCGCTCTTCAGTCAGCATTATGCGCGGAAGCATAAACGACGGATGTGTGTTCGACGATATTCGATGTATCTTTAGAAAAAATACGCGACATGTGGAAAGGATGACGTTTCGAGGACGACGTTGCTACATTTTTTCGCGACAATCCGGCAGTTGTCCTCCTCTTCACAACTGTTTGGCGGTTTATCGAGCGTTTCGACGTTATCGCGACACGAAGTCACGGCGAGTGTCTTTGTTCCCGCGAAGACGCACGTCGTTAATGAGCGAACAGTACGCGGTTGCCTCCGCACGGCGAGAGACGGGAAGCTTTTGTCCGCCGCACGCTGCGTGCCCTCGCGAATGCAATCGACAATGCGCCCGGCTTTATTGTTCGCCGCGTCAACGTCATTGTCAAACGATGAACCGCAGCTATTCACAATTCCTATTAGCTCCGTATCTGCTTCTCCACGCTTCGCCGCGATCGACCGAAGCGCGACACTTGTGTGCGCGCGCGTCACGTTAATTTCACGCTTAATTCCCTAGCACGAACTGTCGCAGACTTTCGTCAAAACGTTGAAAAGTTATCCCGCTTTGAGGAGAAATTGACGTTTAAAGTTTTAGCTTCGTTGGAAGAAAATGTCGCGTGACAAAGGTAGAAACGCAGCGGGAAATTGCTTTTTGAAAATGATACACCGATGATGAAAAGCAGATAGAGTTTCACAATCAAAGTGTCTCATGCTTTCCATACTTTTTCATTTTCCATTTTGGAATAAAGTTTCGAAAGAGTCAACCCTCCGATTTTGCTGTCGATTGGTATACTACTGTATTTCAGTGCGCTGATTGCGAATATGATCATGAAAATTGCCGACAAGGTTATTTTTAAAGTCAAAACTACTTAAAAAAACTAAAAAATTATCGTCTCTTTTAACATCATCTTGATAAATATTGATGTAACAAAGAAATGTTTCAAATAAAAGTTGTAGCTTTTGAAAAAATACATCATTTATGTCCTATGCATTTTTT